CTCTCTTCTCTCAAATTGTACCTTTTCTCAGCCCTGAAGACAGCATGTTCTTCTCCTTCTACAAAAACTCTCAAATCATAATCTTCACCCACAAATCTGAGAACCATCGAAGTTGGGATAGCAGCGGTATCTTCTATTTCCACCAGCAATCTTGCAATGTCTAATTTCTCCCACCTCCTATCTGTCATCAAATCCTAAAAACTTACTGCAGCAGTTTCCAATTGCTTTAAAAGTAAACGTACACCATGCATAAAGGGGAATTCCCAGGATTCCAATCCACAGCGCTCTCCTCCGCCCATTGTGAATCATACCCGTCGCTGGAAACCACCAACTTAATCTTAAATCAAACTCCCTATTTTTCCTCTCTTCTGCTTCCAAAGCCCACTCTGCATCTCTTCTGCTGTGGAACATAAATAAGAACAAACCTCCATTCAGTTTTCTGATACATCAAACTCTGTTCTTCCCCCATTTGGATCTCATCGAAACTTCCACTTTTTTCTTCTTCAAAATCCAGCCGACGAACCTTCCAACCAAACTCGTGTTAAGGACTTTCAGCCTCTCCATCTTCCTCGTCTGGCTCGCCTCAATCTGCATAACCTTCAGCCTCTCCACCACCAACTTCCGTGCTACATTCACCATGTTGTGGAAAGCAAAGAGAACAGCCATGTTATGGACGGTATGGGAAGAAAAGAATAGGAGGATTTTCAGTGAAAAGAGTAGAACAGAGATGGAGATCTTTGATTAAAGTGGCACATTGGGTGAAGACACTGGAGGATTTCCAAGGTTTCTCAATAAACGACATTTTGAGAACTTGGAAGGAAGTGGCACTATCAGCTCAAGCCAAGGAAAGAGTAAATATGGACTGGAGACCCCCAGAAACCAACTTTGTTAAATTCAACTTTGATGGGAGTTATATTGGTAATCAGGCTACAGCTGAACTGGGAGGGGTCTTCTGAGACATAGAAAGAAAGGTGTTAGCATTGTTTTTAGGACCATTAGCAGATGGTAGCGCATTGACAACAGAGCTGTATGCATTACTCCATGGTTTAAAATTTGCTAAGCAATTCGGATTCCACAACTTGGAGGTGGAAACAAGGTTTACAATTTCGATACAATACACCCGATACGGGGTGTATCGTATCGTATCTTTGAAAAACAAGTATGAGATACGCATAGAAATCGGGCGTCTCGTCTTTTTTCATGCGTATTGGACCCGTATAGGGGTGTATCGGGACGTATCGGTAGCGTATCGACAAAAATGATACTGCCAAAAACTGAAAAAAAAAATGGGGAAAGCAAGCTTCTTTTTCCTGAAATAATGCTTCTGTCACCCCCAAATGACTCTAAAACTCCAAACCTCATTCCTAGAGTGCTAGATTTACAAAAATTTGCAAGAAACAAGTGTGAATCGTTAATTTTTTTGAAGATTTTTCAAATTTTGAAAAAATGTGGCAAAATAGGTAAATTTTTTCCATTTTTTATAATATCTTGTGATTTCTTTTTTTTTCTTGAATGTTTAAATTTATGTTGATCTACATTTCTTACATTCGAAATCACAATTTTTTTTGTGTTATCAATAGATTTATGGAAATTACATTAAGATATTTGGGGAAAATATAAATTAACAAAAAATTTGAAAATGAATTTTTTTCTCTGCCTATAAAGACTAAATATGTTTAAGATCTACGGATTTATCTTTCATATCCATAGAGCAATTGAAATTTCTTCTTTAATATTTTTTTGATTTTTTATATTTTTAGAATTAAAAAATAAATAATAATTAATTATATTTTATCATTTGATCACAACAATTGAATATATTATAATTCTATGGAGATCTATCATATCCACAAACCAATTGAAATTTCTTGTTTAATAATTATCTTTTATTTTTATATTTTTGGAATTAAAAAATAAACAATTAATTAATTATACTTTATCATTTGATCACAATGATTGAATACATTATAATTCTATAGATGATTTATCATATCCACAAAGCAATTGAAATTTCTTCTTTAATAACTATTTTTTAAATATATTATATAATGTTTATTTATTTTTTATAATTTTTGGAAATAAATAATTATTAATTATATTTTCACTTAGAAGTTGTACCAATGCATGTTTTATGGTTGGATAGAAGAGTTGGGTTTTTCCCATCCAATAAAATATTAAAACTTAAGAATTATAATTTATAAATTATAGTTAAGCATAGGATTTTTAATGAAATTATAATTAACTACAATATATTTCTTCATAAAACCATATATTAATTTAATGTATATACACCTCATTGAGGTCTTATATTTAGTGTTGTTGATGTATTTTTATGATTTATTATAGTATTTATAGTGCTTCCAAGCATATCTATGTGTATCTTAGTTTTTCGCCGATACGCATGTGTATCCAAGGCGTATCTCGATACGTCTCTTAAAATTGCCTTTCCGATACACTTGGTGTTTCCAATACTTTGAACCTTGGGTGGAAAGGGACACTAGTGGTCATTTCATGTAAAAGATGTAGCTCCCAAATCCCATGGATCTATACACACTTTTTAGGAAATATAAAGCATAACAAGGGATCTGAATGTTGTCTTTAAATGGGTGAAAAGATCAGCAAATGGGATGTTTTTGGCTAAACAGGGGGGATGGCTAGGCACCTAATGTTTTGGGAAAAGTTATAATTATAAAGTTGTCTTGACGGTGGAGAAAACCTCCACCTAATTGTAATACTTGAACTTGATATTAATAAAATCTCTTTTTACTGATCATATAAAAAAAAAGACTTTAAATTGTGAATGTGATGTGTCATGTCATCATGTGTGGATTTACTGATTACCACTTACTAGTAGATCTAAAGGTAGTGATTCAATGGTTGTGGCAATTAGGGATACAGACTTGGATAGCTTGGTATCTTTGCTTGCCTCCCTTCAGAATGTTTTCCTAAATCCTGCTAAGGAAGACACTAGATTTTGGACTCCTTTTACCTCTGGTACTTTTTCTTGTGCCTCGTTTTTTGAAACCCTAACTCGGCCTCCTGTCCCCTTTGGGTTGTCCTTTCCGGCTAAAGAAATTTGGAGCAGGCCTATTCCTCCTCGGTTGGCTTTTTTTGTTGGGAAATTTTCTTGGAAAGAATTAACACATTTGACTAACTTTAGAGAAAGAGGCCCAACTATTGTCTACTTCCTAATAGATGTACTCTTTGTAAAGCTGATGGGGAATCCGGATACCACCTCTTGGTCTCTTGTAAGGTTGCTAAAACTGTTTGGGAGAGGGCTTTCTCCCGCTTTGGGTGTTCTTGGTTTCCTCCGGAGAGTGTCCAAAGGTTGCTCTCTCCTTCTTTCTTCAGATGGCCTAAGAAGCGAGGGAAGACTATGTGAAGGAGTATTAGGGCAGCAGGGTGCTGGTCATTGTGGGAAGAAAGAAATTCACGTATTTTTTCAGACAAGGAAAGAACCCTGGAAGAACTGTTAGACCTAATCCTTTTAAGGGCAGCCCACTGGCTGAAATCTTTGGAGCTGTTCTTAGACTTTCCTATGAATGACTTGCTAAGAAACTGGAAAGAGATTGCTTCCACTACTAGATGCAAGAGGACTCTTTGTCCCTCTTGGTCCCCTCCCCCCTCGGGCTTTTTAAAGCTGAATTTTGACGGCAGCAATGTAAGGAATCCAAGACCCTCTGGGATTGGAGGAGTTTTCAGGAATGAGGAAGGGGTTGTTATTGCTCTATTTTCTGGCCCTATTGGAGAAGGCGACTCTCTTAGGACTGAGATCTTTGCAGCGCTTGAAGGAATTCGAAGAGAAAAGGAGTTAAATGTCAGCCGATTGATCCTGGAAGGTGATTCGAAGGTGGTGGTTAACTGGTTGAAGAAAGAGGACAGTGGTTTGTGGAACTTTAACAATGAAAAGAAGCAGTTCTTATGGATGTGTAGGGACATTGAGATCCAATTCAGCTAGGTGAAGAGGAGTGCCAACTCATTTGCGGGGTTGGCCAAGCAAGGGGTGAATAGGGAGTCTGTTTTTTGGGCTAGTTTTTAATTTTTTTCTCTATGTATTCTCTTTGTATTCTGTATTTGGGAGCTAAGATATTTTATCTCCCCTCTTGTATACATTCTCCCTCTTTTCTCTTAATTTAATGAAGCTGGTGTTATTGATCCAAAAAAAAAAAAAAAATGGTTGTGGCATTGAGGCTTAATTACTTAACACAATGGAAACTTGGAGAGGTAAGTTGTCTTTTAACTTCTTTACTTGTGATATTAAATACTTTGCCAATCCTCATTGGCTTGTTCATTGTAAATGATTAATTTTTATATTGAATGTGTAATGTCATATGTTAATAGCTATGGAGACTTGGAGAGGTAAGTGCCTTCTTAACTTCTTTTGCATCTGTATTTTTGTATCTTATTTACGATATTTAAATTCTTTTGTAAATTGTATGCAAATTACAGATCTTGTCTCTCATCTTTTAACTTCTTTTATATTTGAATTGTTGATACTATGTTGTTTTAATTATTTAATTGTTTAGAATAGAAGTTAGAACTTTAGATTGCATTGTCATATCTTAATTCTTAAATGCATAAACTAAGCCTGTAACCAATTGCACTAATAATCTAAATTATCTAATAAGGCAAATAAATAAATCAGTTAATTTCATTTCAAAACTTGAACTTCAAGTCTATCTTTTTTAACAAAGATAGATGTATTGTTTTTGTATTCTTTCTGAATTTTTTAAAATTTTTATGTGTTTTTATATGTTTTTCCTTTTTTGTATTTTCTGAAAAAATTGTGCACCTTTTTCAAAAAGGTGTGTGCCTCGCCTTGCACAAGTCTTGCACTTTTTGTGTGCCTCTCGCTTTGAAAACCCTGCATGATATAATAATTGACTAATAGTGTATATAATATTACCATAATCAGTATCCAACTTCATAACTTTATCAAGCTTCTCAAGAAACACAAAACAAAATAAAAACTTTCCTGAAAGGAAACATAGAAAAAGTACCTTCCATAAAATGGAATCTTAGCTTTAGTAGCATTTTGCTTCAATTGATCAAAAGCACCAGCTCTAAATGTATCAGCACAAACTAGAGCAGGTTTCCAACCCTTCTTTTGATGATAATATGCATATTTTGTGCATGTCGTAGTTTTACCAGAACCTTGTAACAAGAGGAAATAGAATGCACTATTACAAATAGCTAAAGAATCCAAAAGAAATCTTAATGCAATGAAGTATTCAATGAATATAAAGCATTTTACAGCCCCACAAACATATCCAAGTCTGATGCTTATGTAGCCATAATAAAACATTTGGAAGCAAAAAGGCACCTTTGACTATCATAATTACCCCACGACAAGTTAGAACTGTATACCTTACTAAAGAGGGAAACCAATCATGAATGGAAAAATAAATAAAGAATACTTTACCTAAAGAAAATAATTAACAAACACTATTTATCAAAAAAATAATTAACAAAATTCTTTCAGTCAACCCTCTTAGAGAATAAAAAGCATCTTTTCACTTTTATAAAGCACTAGAACTGACCAAATAAATGACCTTGGGAAAGTAAATAGGAAGCCCGAATCACCGTGTACAGGAAACCAGCCAAGGGAGGTGAGGCATATGCAAGGGCATTAAGAAAGGATTTTGAGAAGGAGACATTAGAACACAAAGATCAAACTCCCATATTTATATACTATATACCAAGGTTTAAAATGTTGGAGTCGGTTGTCCAAATACAGGAAACATGTGGGAAATGTCAAAAGTATTCAATGGAAATATTGTAAAAACTATAGATATGGTGGAAACATTGTAAAATATGCAAAAATATAGAATGATATTTTCAGAAATGATAAAAGAAGCATAGACACACCTTTTTCAATTATTATCTTGTCCCAAATCATTAAACTAAGGTTATAGACAAAGAATATGTTTTGAAGTTATCTCGTAAACCTTAAGATTCAAAACTTTGTGATGGAATTAATTAAGCAAAACTTTAACTCATAGAAAATGTAAATGGTTGTAATAAATCAACCAAATAATCTATTACACCAAAAAAAACTAATATTTAACTTAATGTTGAAATGAATATTGACATAGCTCAAAGTGGTAATCATGTAAGTTAGGTGGGCAATAACATTGTTACTCCACATATCTATAATATTGTCACCAACTTGTGTTATAATACTATCTCTTGTACTCCATATAGTGCTAGTAGTGTTCACCCGGAAAATGTTGATTCCAGTAAAATTTTGTTTCACTACTTGTGGAAATGGAAATGAAAATATACTGTGAAAACTATCTCTTATGCTCTACATAGTGCTGATAGTGTCATTTCCAGTAAAATTTGATGTCGCTACCCATGGAAATGGAAATATGTCGTGGAAATATTAGGGAATTTAGGGACATTTTAAACCATGCATACTATACCATACCACTATTAAAAATATGAATAATGTGAAATTTTTCTTCTTCACTAAAACACCCCTATCTTAAAATTTTGTCCCTCTCTAATTTTAAGGGCATTTGAACTACTACTTTTCACCTCACTGATTACCTCTCATTAAATTTTATGTTTAAGGTATTAAATCTCATCCTCTTGTTAGACAGTATATGCCCTTACCTCCAATCAAATTGATGTATACTGAGTTTTTGAATTAATAAAATTAGATCATTATTAGGGAAATTGTCTAAAACTCACCATGAGTTTTCAGCATTTCTCTTAAACTCACCACAACTTTTCAAAATGTCTAAAAATCACCATGTCACTAACTTGACGTGAAACAGACTAACGGGTGTTAATATATTACCCTTTTAACCTTCATAGAAAAATATAAAACATATACAAAATAAATTAATGGGTGTAAATATATTACCATTTTCATATTTAGACATGAAAAAAAGGAAAATGTTCAAGAAATATTTTCAAATATAAAATACATAAAAACATAGAAATTACAAAAAATATAAAAAATTATAGAAATTGCAAACAAAATAAAAATTATTTTCAAATTATAGAAACTATAGAAATTGAAAAAAAATCAGAAAATAAAAATTGTGGAAAAACACACCAAAAATTATAGAAAAACACAGAAATTACAAATAAATAACAAAAAATACAGGAAATTTTATAGATTGTAAAAAATGGAAAATGTAAAAAACAAAAATTATAAAAAGCATTGGAAATTATAACAAAACACTAAAAATACAAAAAAAAACAAGAAAATTGAAAACTGAAAAAGACCATTTTTCCTCTAACTCGCCATTCAAGGGTAATTTGGCCATGAAAATTGTTATTTATGCTGACATGGACACCTCTGTTAAGAAGCATTAACGATGCACTAATAGAAGGTGAGTTTTGGAAAATAAAAACTTACTGACATGTGAGTTTTAAACATTTTGAAAAGTTGTAGTGAGTTTAAGGGAAATGTTGAAAACTCATGGTGAGTTGTAGACAATTTCCCTCATTATTATTTCATATTTGTGATTGGTATGTGCTTTGTGTATTACCCCTTAAATTGGGCATTAATGAGACTTATGTTAGCTTATAAACTTCTCAGCCATTAGATAGACTTGGGGAGTCTATCTTGACAACGTTGACAGAGATGTACTACCAAGGTTCAAAATTTCGATACGTATCGGGCCATATCAGCCGATACGTATCGTATCGGGGACTTCCTGATATGCCCCTACAAGGAATGTTTCGGGGTTTAATCTGGTTCAAGGGGTAGACAGGCCTTAAACCGACCCCTCTGAACCAGGTTTAAAAAAACTAAAAAAAATAGGGGAGCAAGCCCCGATACGCCCCTACCGGTGTATCGGCTGTATCAATATTTTGAACCTTGTGTACTACCGAAATGGTGGAGCAACTTGTCTTGGTTGCTAGGGTTAGACCCAAGGTACAATAAATGGGTGAAAAAAAAATGAAGGGTGAGTTGAGATTGATGAATAATACATTGTTAGAAAAGTAATATTGAAGTTGCACTTAATGGAAACTGAGAATCTGCCTATCAAGGGGCTTAACCAATGTTTATGGCCCTAATTCCTATAGAGAGAGGAATGAGATGTGGGAGGAACTATATGCAATTAAGGGGCTATGGGATGGTCCTTGGTGCCTGGGCGGGGATTTTAACGTCAATAGATTCTCTGATGAAACCAGTAATCCCCAACAGGTAATCTCAACAAGCATGAGGAAATTTAATGATTTTAT